TCGAACCCAAGACATTGAGAAGGCAGGTGCAAAATGTAAGGTATTTGACTCCCCCCCCCTCTCTCTCTCACTCTCTCTCTCTCTCTCTCTCTCTCTCTCTCTCTCTCTCTCTCTCTCTCTCTCTTTGCTTGAAGTTTTTTTCCATTCTGATTTTCACTAAGACCTTTGCAAACTGTTTTGTTGGCATGCCATATATGCGGTATTTGACTGACTGACTGACTTTCTACCCCACTAGGACATCACACAAGCGATAAACACCCGATGATACAAAGTGTCACCATGCGGATGAGGATCGCCGTGGAGAGATCCCAGAAACCGCGTTCAGACAATTGGCATATTTATGACCTGCCTTTATTGCGGCCCGTGGCAAACGCCAGGGTGGAGCTTCATGAATCAATTATATATGCGGTATTTTCCCAATTGCAGTGTTCATTGTGGTACACTAATTTAAATACAGTGTGACAGAAATTACCATAACCAGGCTATTGTCACGTAACCTGTTAATACCGCTGTTAACGATTTCACGAGAGTTTAGTATTTGACATCTTGGTGCAGACGAGATCTACTACAGTGTTAGCTCCTGTATAAACCTAATTCGTTTCTTGACTACGTTCGCGAACCGAAATGTTCAAATCAAACTAATCCGTTCGCCCGGATCAGACATACATTGTTTAAGAATTATTTTTTTTTTCTATTGGATTTATGTATCTTCTTCTTCTTCAGCATTCCAAGCTCCTGAGGTTCATTGCTGCAGATATCACCCGTCTCTTTCCAGTTGGTTACACCAAGTGTTTGCAAGTCTGTCTGAACATTATCTATCCGTCGTCTTCTTGGTATGCATCGTGGTCTACGATCATTCATCTCCATGGTGTATACAGTTTCATACATAGCCATTTCAGTCTATTAGCTCCCATGATGCCAGTGATCAGTGGTGATTCAAACAGATTATGAATTGTGTTGTTGCTTATCACTTTCCATTTCCCGTTGTTTACATCTTTGATGGGTCTAAAGATTCGTCAACGTTTTAACAGTCTCTAGTTCATTTTCTCCAACGATATTAATGTCCTCTGAATACACAAGTAATCTTGTAGATTCTCCTATAGTACACTCTTGTTTCAGTTTCCTCCTGTCTCCAGAGCCAGTTTGAAAAGAAGTGGAGACAGAACATCACCTTGCTTTAAACCAGATGTTATTTGAAAAGGGTCTGACTTTCTGCCTTTATATATTACTATATTACAAGTCTTATTTATGTCTGACACAAATATATAATAAATAATATACAGTATAACGTTACCTTTGTGACTGACAGTTGTGGGCAATAGCAGGTGTAAGAGGAGGAGGAGAAAAGCTACTCCTTCGAAGAAGATTTGCATTTTATAATAACGTCTGGTAACTGAATAGGTATAACTTGTATGTTTTACTGTATAGTTATCCCTTGAATCTTTTCCCGTAGTTTGCATTTGGGAAGTGGTTCAATTGCAGGTTTGGTGGCTAACAATAATTTTTCTACTTCGTCTTAAACTTGAAACCTTTGTTTCGCTAGTATGGTCACTCACTCCTTTAGCTACATTATGGCGCAGATTTGTTCTTTAAGATGGTAGATATCGTAGATTTAGCAATGTCGCACTGCTTGGCTAAATCAGAAAACGAAGGTCATTCTGGTGTTTAGTTATCGTCTCCCTCTTTGTAGCTCCTGCAATACGCGTAGACTCCGTCTTTCTAAATATAAAATCCTAAGCAGGACTTAAAAGAAAGCGGATTGATACCCAGGAATTATTGTATTTTTAAACGATGTTTCTGGCACCGTAAACATCGGAAGTCTTCGGGGTAGGAAAAAAATACCAACAACACCTGTAATTGTCATGAGTGCAGTAATCTCAACTATGTATTCGTTAATTCGTTCGTTTGTTCGTTCATTCGTTCGTTCATTCATTAATTCATTCTTTCAGCAATTTCATGTTCATCATCATAATCATCATCATCACCATCACCACCATGTGCCTTGCTGATATGCGTAGGCTGTAATGTTTAGCAATCTCTCACTATCACCAGAATCACGGTCTAGGCCAATGTTCTTCTCTCGTCCCATCCAAGTGACTAAGTTATCCAGGAACTTATCTCTTTACCTAACTCTCTTTCCGCCATTCTTGCCAAGGTTTCGAGTCCGTTCCTTCTCCTATCGTGTCCGAAAAATACCGACTGTCTTCTAGTCAGTTTACGACTTGTTTTGTTTTTCTCAAATTCTAATGATATTCTGACTAACGTGTAAATCCACCAGCACATCATACCTCGTGACACAAAGTGCCACAATTCGGATGAGGATCACCCGGGGACATGTTCCAGAAACCCGTACAACCCATTGACTGGGTTATAATAGGGCAGCAGAAACATCCAGGGTGGGGCTTTAAAACAACACAAACTTACGTCCCACATTGGGACGTAGGCAGTATTCGTTCCATTATATTCTTTGCATGCTTCTCAGAAATCAAATCTCCGCTGCGAGTAAATTTGCTTCCAGTTTCTCAGTTTTGTGCTACAGGAAAAACTTTAAAATGAAACAAATAGAAAAAGATAATAATATTGAATCATACTAAGCAGGAGAACAGCATTACTAGAATGTCTTTGCATTGGAACCCACAGGGGCATAGGAATAAAGGAAGGCCAAAAAAAAAAAACACATGGAGAAGAGAGCTGGAGAACGAGGTTAGAAAGATTGGGAGGACCTATGCGGGGATAGAGCTACCATGCAATGGCGAAGGTTTATTCAGAACGACTTGGCGTGAGTTGGTTGAGGGCCTATGCTCCATTGGGGGATAGAAAGGCAGAAGAAGAAGAATACTAAGCATGCCGCAGGAGAATGTGTTTGAGACAGGCTGTTTAGATTCATGTAAACTTCAGCTTGCATGCAGTTCAGGCCCTCTGCTCAACTGGAACATCATCATCATCATCATCAGAAGTACAGATTGCCTTGCCATATTTACTGTACCATGCGGTGTTTACTAAGTAATTACATTCATAAGTAGCAGCCTATTTCACCAAGGCAAACGCAAGTTCACGATCATGTCTTTTCATTTGCCCAGTTCTGGACTTTACAGGTGTATCCTCAGTACTTCTATGTATCTCAACAGTTTGCGGATTATCTGACATATACATATTTAGCAATGCATAGTTCTTGTTTGTCGTTGTTAGTGTTTTTTTTAACTGCTTCTACCATCCATAGTGGAATATGTTCACGCACTTGCTTATCCAGACGCTACAGTTATATTTGAAGTAGTAAATACAGTTAGATTTGGCATACATCTACACTGCTTCCTTTACTGACGGTATCTGGAATAAAGATAGTTTTAAATCTGCGTAGAGAGAATTCCAGAGAAATTTGACTTAAAAGCTCTGTTTTGTGTAGGTCATATATTTAATCATGTTGCTTCAGGTACAACTGTCATGTTGTCTTTTCGTTGGCTACCGAGGAAAGAGACGCAGCAGACGTGGGAATGTCCAGAATGCAGCGACGTTATTTCTTGTTCAATTATTAATTGTATAATTTATCTTTTGCGAAACATTTTCCGATTCGACTGTTAACATCTTGTTGTCTTTCAGGGTCAGATATGTCCAGGAATGCACACGTTATACACAGGCAGGTGTTTATCTGTTTACAGCATCAGACAGCATTACGCGATTCAGGCCAGCAGCTGACAACAGTTGGCAGCACTAACCCGCACAAGGCGTCTTCAAAAACAGCAGCTGTGTTTTCTGTCCTTAGTCAGTGGAACTTCCAGAGACTCGCTGTAGGAGGATTCGATTGTGTCCGCTAGAAGGTTTACTGCAAATATAAATAATTTGCAGTCTGAAGTCCGGTATAATGTGTCATCAACATGATTATCATCATCATCAGTAGCATCATTTTCAGGTCAAGTAGAGCTCGCGGGCTTTTCATCCTTTCTATTCTAACATGTGCAATCGTGTTGATTTTGTAAATAAAATCTACCCCATACACTTTTTTAATATAATGTATAGTAATAGCTGACTAATTTAAGACTATATCTTTAGTGGGGAGCCGTGGAGTATAATGTATAGTAATAGCTGACTAATTTAACGCTACATCTTTGGTGGGGAGCCGTGGAGTATAATGTATAGTAATAGCTGACTAATTAAACGCTATATCTTTGGTGGGGAGCCGTGGAGTATAATGTATAGTAATAGCTGACTAATTTAACGCTACATCTTTGGTGGGGAGCCGTGGAGTATAATGTATAGTAATAGCTGACTAATTTAGCGCTATATCTTTGGTGGGGAGCTGTGGAGTATAATGTATAGTAAAAGCTGACTAATTTAACGCTATATCTTTGGTGGGGAGCCGTGGAGTATAATGAATAGTAATAGCTGACTAATTTAACGCTATATCTTTGGTGGGGAGCCGTGTAGTATAATGTATAGTAATAGCTGACTAATTTAACGCTATATCTTTGGTGGGGAGCCGTAGAGTATATTGTATAGTAAAAGCTGACTAATTTAAGGCTATATCTTTGGCGGGGAGCTGTGGAGTAAAATGTATAGTAATAGCTGACTAATTTAACGCTATATCTTTGGTGGGGAGCCGTGGAGTATAATGTATAGTAATAGCTGACTAATTTAACGGCAGATCTTTGATAATGAGCTGCCGTAGTGTAGCGGCTCGCTTGCGCATCCGAAGGTCGTGGTTTTAACTCCAAACGGAGCTGGGCTTTGTTTTTTCTAAAACGCTCTTAGCTTTCAGGTCCATCCAGCCTTTAATGGATATCAGGTAAAGTCATGGGAAGTAAAGACGGTCAGGGTGATGCTGACAGCATCACTCACTGAGTGTCGATAGGTCCATAAAATATAGATGAAGCCCTGTATGTACAATACGCCCGAAGACGTGGAGATAAATCATTTACTTCAACTGTTACATCTTCAGCCCTTGTTTCTGTTACTGCTATATCTTCGGGCATTGTTTCTGCTACTGTTACATCTTTGACCATTGTTTCTGCTACTATTACATCTTCGGCCATTGTTTCTGCTACTATTACATCTTCGGGCATTGTTTCTGCTACTGTTACATCTTCGGCCCTTTTTTATGCTACTGTTATATCTTCGGCCATTATTTCTGCTACTATTACATCTTCGGCCATTGTTTCTGCTACTGTTACATCTTCGACCCTTTTTTCTTTTACTGTTACATCTTCAGCCATTGTTTCTGCTACTGTTACATCTTCGGCCCTTTTTTCGGCTACTGTTACATCTTCGGCCATTGTTTCAACTACTGTTACATATTCGGCCTTTTTTATGCTACTGTTACATCTTCGGCCATTGGTTCAGCTACTGTTACATCTTCGGCCCTTATTTCTGATACTGTTACTCCTGCTCTTGATGTGTTGAACATCTTTTCCTGGACTTCCACTATCCCTCCCTATGATGCTTGACAGCAAAAGTGGAAGATGACGATGAGATGATGGTAGGTATGATAAAAACGACAGAAGCAAGAATACTTGCCTACGTCCAGAAACACAACATCCACACTTTCTCCAGTCTTGGCCGATGTCTCATAGTACAACATGCTATTGTCTGCAGCGAATCGCTTGGCCATCTAGAAAACAAATAATGATACGACAGGGAATGTTACCGCATGTATGATGATAATGGATTTTCACCTTGCTTCTGTAGATCCACATCTCTGACGTCCTATGGGATTTGTGCAGCGTCCGACTATCAACAATGATTTTATTATGACCAAGAGGTACAGCATGCCATCCAAACATTTTGCATCTACGATTTGACCATATTTAAAAAAAAAAAAGACCGCCTGATCAGGAGACGACAAATGACCTAGCATTTTGTTAATCTAGTAAGAGTTGCATGGTTACGTATGCAGTAAAGCAGAAAGTAAGAACAAAAAAAAAAAAAAAAAAAAAAGACAGTTGAATTGGCAGGACTAAGTTTATGCAGATCAATATTTATTAAATTCAACACAATATCTACCTGTCCTCTTACTCACAGTCAGGCATCCGTTTTCTTACTTTGCTCATGAGTTCATAATTACTTACTTTACTTTACTTTTTCCTTCCACGTATGCCGCTAAGCGTTGTGGGGAGATGCAAGTTCCTGTCATAAGCAAGGCGGGCAGCATCTGATGTTCTGAGGCCATGCTTTTGGCAGGTTTCGGAGACCCCGTCAATCCACAGTTTCCTTGGTCTTCCTCTTGCCTTATATCCTGAGCTTCTTTGGTTGAAAATTTGTGATGTTATTTGGTCATTTTTCATCCTGGTTAGATGTCCAAACCATTTCATTCTTTGATGTTCTATGTAGTCTAAACATGGTGTAGTTTTGACAGTGTTTCTAATGTCTATGTTCTTTATCCTGTCTAGTCTGGTCTTATTCGCTGCTTTTCTTAGACATTTCATTTCACAGGCTTCTATTTTTCTTTCATGGGTCTTGTTGATTGTCCATGTCTGGCACTGGTAGCAGAGTGTTGGAATGAAGATGGTGTTTATCAATTGTCTTTTGGTCTTCAAAATTCATAATTACCAACATAAATTGGACCTCCTGGACTAGTTCTATCATTAATCTTGTCCACGCCGGTTTTGAAAGGTGAAAACCACTTCAGTATGTGTGCACGAGACAAACACTGATCTCCATAGTCTTGCCTCACCAGGCAACACAGATACACACACATCGGGCTGTTTGTCTGTCTACTTGTGTATTTTATTTCTGTTTTTAGTAACAGGAGCTGTTTGGTCTAATGTCTAGATGCTAACCATCAAGCTCACAGGTCTTGGATTCGAATCCACATCGAGTGTATATCTGAAGGGAATAAACTTTGATATGTTACCTTACATTCGGTATATAAAATATTCAATTTCACGTAAGGGGGACACGAGAATACATTTGTTTTTTAAAGGTACACTCTTTTCCGGAAACCCTGTGTGTGATTCTAGTATTGTGTACCCGACTGGCCGTTGACGTAGTAAAGGTCGTTTACCTAGTTACATTTTTGTCAAAATGGATGCTAGGCACGGCCACTGTTTTGAGCCATGGCAAATGTTTTTGCTTTTGCCAGACAGTGACCTTTGCATTTTCGCTTTATTTGTAGACTGGAAGGATATAGTTTCGTTGCCCAGATTCTGAGTTGAGTACATGGCGTAACACTGTGAACTGCGGATTTCATTTTGAATGTTTTTAGTGGTGGTGTGAATTGTAGATTCAGAAAATGGCACAATGCCGGTTGTCGCAATATTGGTAGTGCCACTATGTGATTAAAATTGATCGGGTGGGTAACTGCTGATCTGTTGGTGATTTCTGCTACCATCAAAGATGAACTGCATTTCTAATGTCAGACTGTTTGTGTAATTACCCCACTAACCCCAATGACCTAGAAAAAAATTGGGGGGGGGGGGGAGGGTGGGTGGTGAGGGTTACACTGTCTTGCTTGGAATGTCCCGTCTTGAGCTCAAAATAACAATGTTATGTCCCGTTTTCAGCACAAGATATGATGCGCACCCTGCTCATATGACATCAAAGGATCAAAACTGAAATGCCTTTAACTTGCTGATATTGAAACAAACAACACAGCTGCAAACTGACCTTGCTGTCTATTTGTCTGCTTGCCGACTTGTCGATTTTGTTTCCTACAAGAACAAGTCTGAACTCGTCCGGAACTATGTCTCTGATCCACTTTATCCAGTACTTGTCTATGTTGACAAAGCTGGCCTGGACACAGGTTAGATTCACAATCATATTGGTAAAAGACAATCATCATAAGTATCATCATCCTCATCCTCATCACCATCATTGTCATTACCTTTACCAAGCGCTTTGGGCTTTTATTTTTGCCTCAGAAAAAAAAAAAAGCCTAACCAAGGAAAGGATTCGAACATTGGTCCCCCGCTTGAGTGCCCAGCGTTCTTAACTGTTCGGCCAGCCGTTGTTCTAACAGTTTTCAATGCCCTGGCAGAATTATTTCCAGAATTTTATTTGGATGTCTTCCTCTGCAAGTTCTCTTTAAATTGTTCCACTTCTCACAGCGTGTTTCAGTTACTGTTAAATGTTTCCACATCTCACAGTGTGTTTCAGTAACTGTTAAATGTTTCCACATCTCACAGTGTGTTTCAGTAACTGTTAAATATTACCACATCTCACAGCGTGTTTCAGTTACTGTTAAATGTTACCACTTCTCACAGCGTGTTTCAATTACTGTTAAATGTTTCCACATCTGACAGTGTGTTTCAGTAACTGTTAAATGTTTCCACATCTCACAGTGTGTTTCAGTTACTGTTAAATGTTTCCACATCTCACAGTGTGTTTCAGTAACTGTTAAATATTACCACTTCTCACAGCGTGTTTCAGTTATTGTTAAATGTTTCCACATCTCACAGTGTGTTTCAGTAACTGTTAAATGTTACCACTTCTCACAGCGTGTTGAAGTTACTGTTAAATGTTTAAACTTCTCACAGCGTGTTTCAGTAACTGTTAAATGTTACCACTTCTCACAGCGTGTTTCAATTACTGTTAAATGTTTCCACATCTGACAGTGTGTTTCAGTAACTGTTAAATGTTTCCACATCTCACAGCGTGTTTCAGTTACTGTTAAATGTTTCCACATCTCACAGTGTGTTTCAGTAACTGTTAAATATTACCACTTCTCACAGCGTGTTTCAGTTATTGTTAAATGTTTCCACATCTCACAGTGTGTTTCAGTAACTGTTAAATGTTACCACTTCTCACAGCGTGTTGAAGTTACTGTTAAATGTTTAAACTTCTCACAGCGTGTTTCAGTAACTGTTAAATGTTTCCACATCTCACAGTGTGTTTCAGTAACTGTTAAATATTACCACTTCTCACAGCGTGTTTCAGTTATTGTTAAATGTTTCCACATCTCACAGTGTGTTTCAGTAACTGTTAAATGTTACCACTTCTCACAGCGTGTTGAAGTTACTGTTAAATGTTTAAACTTCTCACAGCGTGTTTCAGTTACTGTTAAATGTTACCACTTCTCACAGCGTGTTTCAATTACTGTTAAATGTTTCCACATCTGACAGTGTGTTTCAGTAACTGTTAAATGTTTCCAAATCTCACAGCGTGTTTCAGTTACTGTTAAATGTTTCCACATCTCACAGTGTGTTTCAGTAACTGTTAAATATTACCACTTCTCACAGCGTGTTTCAGTTATTGTTAAATGTTTCCACATCTCACAGTGTGTTTCAGTAACTGTTAAATGTTACTACTTCTCACAGCGTGTTGAAGTTACTGTTAAATGTTTAAACTTCTCACAGCGTGTTTCAGTAACTGTTAAATGTTTCCACTTCTCACAGCGTGTTGAAGTTGCTGTTCTACTCTTATACTGTTAGCCCGGTTTGGTGACGTCAGCAGCACAACCCGTCTTGTTTCAACAATGGTATCGACAGCTGACCGTTCAGGGGCAAACTAATGAACGTAACGTTGCCTAGTGAACTCACTAGTGACATTCAATGTAACAACTAGGGTAGAATTATTTAAAGTAACAACAACGAAGCACACTTATGAAGTAACATAACAATTATTTAAAAAAAAAAAAACAACAATAACGAGTAGAGTCTATTACAGCAGGCATAGGCACGCAGACACCCCCTCGTCTCCCCCCTCCCAACACACACACACGCACACACACAAATAAATACAGACCACAAGAAAGACAGAAACACAGACAACAGACAGAAGATGGGCAAAGCATGCGGACAAAATTACACACACAGACAGTGGCAAAGGCACACGAGCGGACAAATAGGGGGAAAAAAGAGGGCTTGATGGGTAGACAGACACACGAACGGAAAGACATATAAACACAGAGACAGACAGAGAAGCATGCAGACAGACAGACGTACAAAGACCGTTTACCAAGTTAGTGACGTCGTAAACTAACAGAGCCCCGTTGGAGTCCCTGAGAATGTGAGGACTCAAAGATCTGAATCTCTCAGTGCCTGATGTGTCCCAGATCTGGATGTAGACACTGCTGTCAGGTGTGTGCAGGTATTTGTGGAAGTGACAGGCTGTGAGAAAAACAGACCATTATGTAATGTATGGATGTGTATATATGCTCTTTAACTGTCTGCTTTTAATTTATATATATATATATATATATATATATATATATATATATATATATATATATATATATATATATATATATATATATATGGTGGCCACACCACGGGCAACAGTCTTGGCTGACTGGCTAAACTACATGAGTGAAGTGGGAGTAATATCCTACTAAGGGAGATGTCCATCCCTAGTACACAAAGACTGGGACGGTAAGCAAGGAGGAAGAATCTAATTATATAGATCAACGGCTTGCAAAGCGAAACAGCAAAGTGTGTGGCACACATGCGGCGTGTTGGGACACGAAGGAAAACATGGCTGGCCATCGTGGAAAAGATTGGGACCTTACCACGTAGCACCCAAAGACAGTAATGGAAGCACAACAAGTTAGAAAAAGCGATGCAGGCACATCTTGGCCCCCTGGAGTAATGCCTGTTGTAAATACAAACAGGGAAGAGACAAATCCTCTGTTGACTAGGTTAGAGCATAATGACGAGTACGCCTTAAATTCTTCTGAAAGGGCACATTCTGACAACGCATATCTGAAAAGTAGAAAGAGATGTCTTCGCATTGGCACAGGGAATGTTAGAAGGTCAATATCAAGTTGGAAAATTTGACTGTTTAATTTCTGAGGCAAAGAATATGAATTTAGATATTTTGGGAGTATCAGAAACAAGATGGATAGAAGCTAGCTGCCTAAAGAGAGATGATTACATATTTATTAATTCTGGAGGAGAACATCATGAACGTGGAGTAGGATTTTGATAAAAAGAAATTTAGAGAAGTTTATTAGCGGGTTCTGGGCTCACAATGACAGAATTATATTGATAAAGATCAAGGCAAGACCTTTTGATATTGTAATAATACAGACATTTGCACCAACAACTGACTACAGTGATGAACAGTTTGAAGAATATTATGAAGAACTACAACAAACACTGAAAGTTGTAAAATCATCAGAGGTCCTAATAGTTATGGGAGACCTGAATGCAAAAGTGGGGAAAAAGAAGCACAAACATATTGTAGGGCAATTTGGCATGGGATCAAGGAATGACAGAGGAGACAGATTGATACAGTTTTGCGAAGAGAACCAACTCATTATCTGTAATACATTTTTTCAACATCCACCTAGAAAACTGTTTACGTGGAAGAGTCCAGGAGATATAAATAGAAACCAAATTGACTATGTAATGATTAGAGACAGATTCAAAAACAACATCAAGAACGCCAAAACATAGCCAGGTGCGGATATAAATTCAGATCACAACCCTGTGGTAATAAAAATACAAATTAAACTTAAAAACGCAGGGCAAAGGTCACCCCACATAGACATGTCAGCTTTGAAACAGCCAGAAATAAGCCAGCAGTACCTAGTGGAGGTTAAAAATAAATATGACAGCTTAATAGTTGAAAGCATGGAACAATATCTACGGGAGAATCCAGAGGACAAAATTAATACAGAATGGGAATGTTTCAAAACTAGTATAGAAACAGCTAATGCCATCTTACCAGTGAAAGAAAACAAGAAAAATCAAGTATGAATGACTGAGGAAATTATTAACAAAATGACACAAAGGAAGAAAGCAAAAAACACTCCAGAATATTCATTAATAGACAAAGAAATACGAAATATGTGTAGAACTGCTAAGGAAACATGGATTCAGTTAAAATGAAAAAAAAAAAAAAAAAATTAGAGGATCTTGAAATAAAACACAGAACCAAAGAAATACATGCAAATATAAGAAAACTTACAAACAAGGAAAAACATTTAACAGGAAATGGTTGTATTAGGGGGAAGGATGGAAAAAATATGGTTGATAAGAAAGATATAATAAAAAGATGGACTGAATACACAGAAGACCTGTTTTAGGACAACTGAGGTGACAAACCGCCAATCCATAACATTCAAGAGGGGCCAAACATATTAAAGTCTGAAACAGAGAAAGCCATTAAACAGATGAAGCAGGGAAAAGCTGCAGGTCCAGACAACATAACTGCAGAAATGTTAAAATCATTATCTACTTTTAGAATTGATACTATCACAGAAATATGCAATGACATTTATAACTCTGGGTACATTCCCAGGGACATGAAAAAAATCGGTTTTTTATCACACTACCCAAGAAATCAAAAGCTGTTGATTGTGAAGATTACAGAACTATTAGCCTAATGAGTCACGTAACTAAGTTACTCTTGAAGATAATACAAGCAAGAATTCAAGATAAAATAGAGAAAGAAGTTTCTGAAGAGCAATTTGGATTCCGTAGAAACAGTGGTACTCGAGAGGCCGTAATTTGTCTAAAGATGCTGACTGAAAAATATATAGAAGTTCAGAAAAATATTTATGCATGTTTTATAGATTACAAAAAAGCTTTCGACAGAGTGCAACATGAACAACTAATTGCAGCTCTTCAAAACATAAGACTAGATGGAAAGGATATCAGACTTATTAGAAACTTTTACTGGGAGCAAGAAGCAACAGTAAGATATGACAACATCTGCTCATCCCAGATAGAGATCAAGAGAGGAGTAAGACAAGGATGTGTGCTGTCGCCTAACCTTTTCAACTTATGTACAGAAACCATTTTTAAAGAAATTGTAGAATTACCAGGACTGCACATCAATGGTAGAATAATAAACAATCTGAGATATGCTGACGACACAGTGTTGCTAGCAGAGAGTGAGCAGGAGTTGCAAGACCTAGTGGAGCAAGTAAACAGAAGGAGTGCATAATTCGGATTAGATGTAAATTTGAAAAAGACAAAAACCATGATATTTAGCAAAGAAAATAATTAGCTAACAATGAATATCACAGTGAATGGGGTGAAATTGGAACAAGTTAAAAATTTCTTATATCTAGGACAAGTAATAACATGTGACGGCAGAAGTGAAACAGAAGTCAAGAAAAGAATAAGGATGGCAAAAAACATTTTCAACAACATGCAAAAGTTACTGACATCAAGAGAAATAAGCAATACATTAAAAATGAGAATTGTCAAATGTTATGTATTCTCAAGCTTACTGTATGGCACAGAGACATGGACAATGAACAAAAAACTGGAAAAACGTATCAGTTCTTTGGAGATGTGGATATACAGAAGAATAAGTCGTATTTCATGGAAACAAAAGCTATCAAATACAGAGGTACTGAGGAAATTGGGAATGAAAAGAGAGTTCCTAGGTGAAATAAAAAAAGAGACAAGTGAAATATTTTGGCCACATTAAAAGACATAACATTATTGTAAAGATCATCCTAGAGGGAAAGGTTCAAGGTAGGCGAGCAAAAGGCAGGCAGCGTTACAAGTGGGAGGATAACATCAAGAGATAGACGAACAGCAGTATGAGTGAGTGTTCATGAAGGGCAAGAGACAGGGCTTGTTGGAGATCCAATGCAGCCAACCTTCATTGTGGAGACGCCACCTGATTGATTGATTTATATATATATATATATATATATATATATATATATATATATGTGTGTGTGTGTGTGTGTGTGTGTGTGTGTGTGTGTGTAGAAGTAAAGACCCCTTTTCACGCCTTTAGACGTATCGCGTATATGGGAAAAGGGCCCATATTTTTACAGAACATCTGCACTAGGTGGGTAATGTGGTCAGCATTACGCCGGCCGTCTTTACTTCCCCATGACAAGCATCCTGGTACCCATTTTAGGCTGGGTCGACCTGCGATGCCCCATATCATGATAAAAATCCACCCAGCCAGAGATGGGTTTCGACTCGAAATGCCTAAGCCATGGACTCCGCTCTCTCTCTCTCTCTCTCTCTCTCTCTCTCTCTCTCTCTCTCTCTCGCTCTCTCTCTCTCTCTCTATATATATATATATATATATATATATATATATATATATATATATATATATATATATACCTGTGTGTGTTTAGCTGACTGCACAGAACTGATTTACGCTCTAATGGTAGATGAGATGATAAAGATGACGATATCAAAGAAGAAGAGAAAGATAATGACGATGATGATATCTGTGGTTGTGGAAAGAAAATATAATCCGCTGTCTTTCAGCATCTTACATTTCCTCGCTATACAAAACGTCTCTCGTTCTTTGATCAACCGTAATCCACATGCCGTGTGCTGATACGGCAATTGAAATTCAACAATATAATCACAATCATGTCAGAAAACAATCCGACAGCTGGTCTCTTTAAAAGAGTATTCACAGTTTTCACTGCAGCTGTTCAATGCTCAATCAACTGCAGGGTTCTATGACAAACACACATTCTCACTTCGGTCACGTTTTACTTCTGAATGCCACCTTTTCGTCTTTGAAGATGATAGTCTTCTTCTTCTATTTCTTTCGTTCGCTTGAAATAGTTTATCTATATCTGCAATATTGTCTCAAGTATGAAATTCACTGTCTTTTGTAATCCCCTCAGCCAAAAGTTTTGCCTTGATATGTATTTGAGACAGTCTTGGAGGACATGTCTGCTTTTAAATTTTATATATATATATATATATATATATATATATATATATATATATATATATATATATATATATGTGTGTGTGTGTGTGTGTGTGTGTGTGTGTGTGTGTGTGTGTGTGTGAGAGTGTGTGTAAAAGTAAAGATCCATTTTCACGCCTTTAGGAGATTCGGGTGTATGAGAAAAGCGCCCATATTTGTACAGACCATCTGCACTAGGTGGCTAATGTGGTTAGCATTACGCCGGCCGTCTTTACTTCCAAAGGACATCTCTTGTCTCAGGTGCCAGTCTACATGATTCGCTGATTTTAAATTTTGTGTACACGTGGCTGCACAGTCAATTGTGTCCTGTTCCAAGGCCTAAAATAATAACGTGCTCTGGTCTGTCCATAAAATGGTCATCGTCTTGTGCCTGTTTCGGTGGCTGTCTGATAGATTTGATTATTCTCTTCTTGTGTAAATACTCTTCTTCAAAGAAGCATGAGAATCCCAGCACATAGCCATGGTAAGTACGACCTGTGAAATCAGCTCGCCTGAAAAAAATGTCTTTCGTAAGTGGAGAATGGAATTACAGGATCAAAGTTTTTATTGCGTATATTTAACTTTCTCAGACACTCAGCTCTTATCTGAAAGGATTTTCTCCCATATCCCGATTTCCTTCCTGATATTCCCTCTTAATTCAACAAGGTCCATGACATCCTATTCCCATGAATCCACCTCAGTACTTGTATCATTCATGCCCTACCTGCAAACATTTTTAAAGCGAAGTAATGGTAATGTTAGTTTCAGCTTCATAGCAAACGAGTCACCCAATAGTTGCTCCGCTTCTGTGCCAACGAAAAAACACACAGAATGCCCATCACAGTCCCTTGTGGAAAGTTTGACAGACTGCTGTCTCAGTATATGCACTAGCATACAGACGCATTAAAAGCATACGTTAGCAACCAGAAGTGCTAAAACAAACAGTCCGACATTAGCAATGCAGTTCATCATCGACTGTAGCAGAGGTAACCAACAAATCAGCCGTTGCACACGGATCAATTTTAATCACATAAGGGCACCACCTGTATTGCCACAACAGGGCACGCACCATTTTCTGAATCTACAATTCACACCACCACGTTGGTCAAAGTCGAAAAACATTCTAAATGAAATCCGCAGTTCACTGGGTCGCACAATGCACTCAACTCAGTAGCTGGGCGACGAAACTATGTCCTTTCAGTCTACAACTTGAGCAAAAATGCAACAGCCACCGCCTGGCAGAAGCAAAAACTTTGTTACGACTCAAAACAGTGACCGTTTTGAAACAATTTTGATCGGAAGTCGTAGTAGAAGTTGACCTTGATATCTTCTGACTATGTGATTTATCATACAGTCTGTGCAGGATCAGTCACTAATTTGCTCGGGAATTGCCCAGTTTGAGGCCAGATACAATCACTGTATACTGTAAGCCGGAGTAATACACCGTTTAGATGCTTTTCTGGATTGAATGTGGCTTAGCGACTACACTTTCAGCCTGCTGGCCTGAGTGCCGTGCGTTCAAATCCATATTGTGTCAGAATTTCCAGAAACTTCGTAGGCTCACAAGTCGACCCAGCCTAAGAGTGCTTGATGGGAAGTAAAGGTGGCCCACGTGATGCTGATCACATCACTAATTGAAGTAAACTTGGATTATAATAATACGAGTCTAGCATTTTATGCCCAGTGTGCCACTGGTGTAAACAGAATCCTTCACGTCTTTGTTTTTCTTTTTTCTTTTTTACTTTTTTAAACTTAAATGCTAATTTGCCCACAGCTCTTGGGTTCGAATCTGTTCCAATGCGTATTTTTATAATTGATTCTGGTCAAAAGTATGTACCAGGCAATGCCATTAAATGTTAAATGTTGAATAAAAAACCTCACATCAAAGCACTCGGGACACTCCCATAAGCGCTCCGTCCCCACCTCCAGCACAAGCAAAGAGTTCCAATTCTAATGGTACCAGTAAATATCTGATTGTATATCGGTCTCGCCTTTGCCTTGCGTGTTGATCCCCTGGTAACCCAACGACTTTCTCCTCAGACCGTAATGATCTTTTCGTGCCTCTGCACTGTTCACTCGCTGCCAAAGGGCCCTCACGAGCAAGGCCATTGGAAACACAGGCAGTCGGTGTACTGTCGACAACATCACTAACCATCAAGGCTGCTTGATCTATAACAAACACAAATTTAACACCATCTGTCGGATGTGCCAATAGCCTTGAATGGGTTCTTTACTTACTTTTTCTTCTTCTTTCTTCTTCCGCTTTTCTATCCCCCAATGGAGCATAGGCCCTCAACCAACTCACGCCAAGTCGTTCTATCCTTCGCCATTGCATGGAACTCTCCCTATGTCCTCCCCATATTTCTAACTTGATTTACGGTCCGGTATTTAAAAAACAATTATATATATATATATATATATATATATATATATATATATATATATATATATATATATATATATATATATATATATATATATATATGTATATATATATTTTAAATCTTAGAAACAAAGTTGCTGGTTCTTAACATAAACAGTCTATTGCAATAGGGCAGAACAACAATTTACCACTACATGTTTCTTTTTTTTTTAAATGCCGTCCCCACGGTGAAGGTTGCCTGTATAGGATGTGTACATCCACTGCGTGTTTTTTTTTTTTTTTGGGGGGGGGGGGGGGGGGCATGACGTCCCTAGACCCCAATGTCTTCTACTGTGCAACTATTCTACCATTGACATAACAGCCAGATGAAGAGTCTTTTTGTAAACCATTCGCCAAGTATAGAGTGTCCAGCTAAGAACTTCTTCTTCTTCTTTTTCTTTATCTTCTTCTGCTTTCGTTAGCTTGAAATAGATGCTCTATATCTGCAGTGTTGGCTCTAGTATGAACTTCAAGCTAAGAACTGACATCACAGCACTCGGGACACTCCTGTAAGCCCTTCGTCCTCATCTTCGGCAGCCAGCGAATGGTTGCAATGCGGAGGTTGGGATAAGCAGTTTGATTATATATCCGTGTTTTCTTACCTCTAAGTGCAAAGTTTCGACCAGATCCGCTGGTCACTCCTAGCTGTAGCATTCGCTACAGACCATAATGATCTGTTGATTCCTGCACATTGTTTACTTGTTCCCACAAGGTTTTGACCATATCTAGCCTTCCATGCATAAACTCCCTACCTATTGTTGCAGAACCAATAGTAGTAGTGTTAGTAGCAGCAGCAGTGGTGATAGTAGTGTTAGTAGCAACATAAGTGCTTGTTCATTAACGCCTGCCGAAAGAAATAGAATCCTAGTATGTCGAGGATTGTGAAACCGCCTCACTAACTAAGCTATCAACTGCAATTCCCCTACAAAAGTAAAGAACCACTCCCACGCTAGTAACGCATCGGTCACATGATGCTAGATTTATTTGTATAGACCAATCGGCACTCGTTGGGTGATGTCCACAACAACCCGTTGGCTGCTTTTGCTTCCCAGAATTTAACCTTGTACCCATTTTGGACTGTGTCCACATGAAAGCCAAGGTCATTTCTGAAATAACATCCGACTCGATGAAGTCACTAAAAAAAAGTTAACTGCATATGCCTTTTAGAAAGTTGCCAAACCAACCCAAGATTACTTTTGTTAATAGCTTTCTTGGTTTCACTTGACAATTTTATATTCAGTAATTTCCCACAGCCTACTTAACGTTCAGCTCTCGATACCTGTGTCGAAATCAACGCCAGGCGACCTGTTGCCAAATTACCCGCAGCTGAAATTGAAACGGACACCTTCGAATGTCCCAGTGTTCGCAATGCCTGAGCCACAGGTGCCGACAACAGCTTGATCATTCTTCTTCTTCTTGGTGTTCACCGGCGGAAAGTTCTGGCTGTTCGTCCATTTTTGGTCTTTGGCTTGTTCTGGAGCTTGAGTTTTGCAGATCTGTGTTAACTACATGTGCACTGTTAACTATATGCAGGCTGTTGGTTCCTTGCCTCTTATGCACTCCAAGGTCGAAGGAAGCTTGCCTAATTAGTTGCCTTGTACGACATGCTTGTTAGGGAAGCACTGGGCCCATCACCACCTCCCCCCCCCCCCCCCCATGAAAAACAGAAACTCACACAGGGAGCTGATGTATACTTGCCTTGATATGTCGGTTTATACTTGTCTACGAAGTTCTCGGTGACAAACCGAGTGGTCAACGATGTCTTGCCCACACCTAGATCTCCCAGGACACACACCTTGAGGATCTTGTAGGTCGACGACTGCATCAGAAGGTCTGCTAGTGCTCATGCACACGAGGTTGAATGGTGGACGCTTCAACTGCCTATCGCTCATGCTTCAAAGCCTGTGTCTATGTTCATTATACAAATAATTACACAAATCAATTTAAATATACAAAAACAGCTCAAAAATAACATTCCTATAGGCTAAAAAGGAAGTTAGGAAGCGAATAAGAGCGGATAAAAAGAAATATATTTAGATGACTTAGCAGAAGAATCAGAGACAGCGGTAGCAAAATAAAAGCTGAGACCTTGACACTACCACGTGAAAATTAGAAGCTAACTAAATACAGTCAACCAATTGGATCAGTCAAAAATAGTCAAGGAGAGGTACTAACCAATACTAAAGATCAAATTCACGGATGGTGTCAAGTTTATGAAATACTACTGAACAGTCCAGCCACAGAGGACTCCCCAGAAATCCAGCCATTAGAAATGAAACTTTGAGATACCTTCTAAAGAGGAAATTGGGAAACCTATCAATCATCTGAAGGGAATGAAGACTACAGGTCCAGATGGTATCCCATCAGTAATTGCCACCACCAGAGATTAAATTAAATAGACCCTTACATAACATATGGAAGGTGCAAGATAAATAAAATATGCTTGATGCAAGATCACAACAATGGGTCTAAAAATCCATAAAGGAAAAGCAAAGATAATGAGAGAAAAAGATGGTATCCCACTACAAGGTTTCAGTCATTAACGTATTTGGTCAGTAAGGTAGATAAATAATAAAAAAAAAAGGATAGGGGTGGGGGTAGGAGAAATTGACAGCTTTTTTAAAATCCGAATACAAAAGGCAAGAAGGGCGTTCACTGAGCTATGAAATTTGTGGCAGTGAAAAGAAATTAAAACTAATACTAAATTTAACATTTTTAATTGTAATGTCTAATCAGTACTGTTGTGTGGAGCGAAAACATGGAGAACAACTAAGGCAATTACTAATAAACTACAAACTGGTGCCTGTGCAGAATAGAGGGAATTAAATGGTATCTTGAGCTTTGGGAGAGAACTACACAAGTTCCAGAAGACTAAGAGGAGAAGAAGAGACGCCGGCGTTGGATAGGACACACGCTGAGAAAACCTGTGAACAATATAACTAGAATGTCTTTGTACTGGAACCCACTGGAGAATAGTAACAAAAAACCACACACACAAAACATAGAGAAGGAAGCTCGAGAGAGAAAGTTAAAAAGATGGAGAGGACATGGTGTGGGTTGCATGCCAGCTGTGCACACAGTTGTATCTGACTGGCGGTGCGTGTTGGGAAAGGTGGAGACAAGTATGCTCCGTGCAAACTGGCAAGCATCGCTTCAGAGTTCTTGGGTAGTTAGCGTCCTTTGGATATTTACTCTAGACAATACCGGTGTGTTGGTAAAGGAATAGGCAGATATACTTGCTGGTTCTGCACCACATGATGCATGACAAGCCAGATATTGTAAGGGTCCTTTGGGAGCGAGTTAATTTTTTTTCTAATTCTCTTACGTTGACCACTTTCAGCTAGGTCAGATCACATTGCTGCTGTCTTTCCTGTCTGCTATATTTGTGGTGACGTATCTGGTCTTGATCTCATTTGGTTTTGGATTGTGTTTTCAGTATTTGTCGCTTTCTATTTGTTGTGGTTTCCGCTCGATTATCTGCTTTCGTAACTTGGCTGGCCTTCTGCGGAGCGAGTTAACAGTGCGGAGGCATAAATAGATCATTACGGTCTGGGGGGTGGGGGGGGGGGGGAGATGGGGCTGCGAGGAAATACAAGGGGATCTGGCTGACGCTCAACACTCAAGGAAAAGGCGGAACAGATGTACAATCAGAAAGTTACTGGTGTAGAGATCAATGCTATACAGATTCAGCGGTAACACAACCAGAGGTCCACCGCGCAGAATGTGGACCGCAGAAATATCAGAGACACTGAAAAGTATTTTATACGAAGCGAACAGAAGGGCCTGTTCCAGAGAGCTCTTCCTGGCCTGACGCCGCGTGGCACTCCAGGAGTAGAGGGGAGATGAATAAGAAAGGAGTTAGTGGTACCATCGGAACTGGAAATCTGCGCTTCTTTCGAAGATGGGGACGGAAGGCGTATGGGAGTATCCCGTGTGCTGTGATGTCGACTCTTGATTCATCATTTATTTAACTAGTACGACAAACACATTACAGTGTACAGATTAGCACTGACAACTGTAAAAGAAAGACGCAGCGATAAGAGAGTACATATTACATTTGAAGATCTGTATCCCGTAAACAGCAAGAGCCTGATTACAAAATGTTTTCATAATCATCGCCTGATAAGAGATACCTGGACAGAAAAACAACTGAATAATTGTACTATTCTGTCTGTTAAATGCACCCAGACGAATTGGGCGGTGTCTGAGCTTGCATTGATAATTTCAGCACTTTAACTCGTTCAGAGTAGCAATTAACAAAAAGTGAGATAAATAAAGAAACATTTAACAAGAATAGATAGGATAGGTACGAGCAACAATAATAGAAAAGATAAAAGCAACAAAAAACGTCAAAATAACATAAGTAACAACTTACCAGAATAAAAGGATTAAAATAATTAACGTGAATAGAAAATGTTAAAATAATAAGTAACAACAAAAGAGAGGATTGACATAACAACATGAGTAGACGGAGTTTCAAATGAGTAGTATCAAGCATGGAAAAATGCAGACTAACAGTGTTAAAGTGGAATCTATCCTACGTCAGAAAATTTAAAAGACTGATGCTTTGCTAGTAAGCTAAAATACTAACGGAGATCCATTTTCACATGCGCACAGTTAAATAGAACGAACGAACCTTATAGAAACTAGCAATGTCCTACTGTTTAAACTTTTGGGTAACCAAAGCATACACGATGTAAACAGGCATGCAGACACCAAACACAACACAGAACAACTGAGATTGTGAAGTGCAAGGTACAACATGACCGCTATCACACACACGACAACATTAACACACTCAAACGCAAGCCCGGTGCATAGGCACACACAAGTGCGCGCGCGCACACTTTAACAACACACCGCGTGACTGTTGCCCAGATAAAGTTCCTTGTCACACGTGTGTCCGCAGTCGTCGAGGTGTAGAGGTTAGACGCTCACCTGCGAATCGAAAAGTTTTGGGTTTAAAAAAAAACATGACCTTGGCTCCTAACCTTACAAGGGCACCAGGTAAGTCCTAGAAAGTAAAGGCGGCCGGCGTCGTGTTGACCGTATAATCCATCAAGGACTGGTCTTAAAAAATACAAGGCTAGCCTCTTATACCCTCTGCGCCACTGGGGTGTAAAGGGATATTTACTTCTTTACCTAACTCTTGTGTCTTGCTGAAAGACAGATTTCAAGGTGGTCGGTGGTACAGGGGCCCGGCGTTTGTTTCGGGAACTAAAGGTCGTGGGTTCATTCACTGACTGCTTCTTTTGGAGCTGCAGCTCTCCTCTGTCTCCACATCCGTGCCAGTCAAGGAACTGTCTATCGCCATCCTATGGTTAGTTGCGTATCCTTTACAGGACGTTGCAGTACCAACCCCAGCAGCCCCTGACTTGTGCAGTTTCTCTAGGCAAATTTACGTCCAGTAGTTTGTCATTGCCTACTGGACGGTCGGCTTTTTGATACCACTGTCGAAACCAACCCAAGGCGCATGGCCCGCAGCTAGGATCGAACTCGGCACCCCGGCATTACGAAGCATTCGCATCGACTTAGCCACAGAGCCGACGCCGTCATCCTTTACTGCCTTTTATTAATACATACTAAGTAATAAGTGATGAAGTCCCCCCCCCCCCCCCCCTTCCCCATCTTATGTTTGGTTACAACTTCTTACACTTACCACTAGGGGTGATGCGTGGTCTCGAGGCACGGTGTCCGCCTTGAGTGCTAGAGGTTCCCGGTTCACGTGGACTTGGACTTCTGGTAATTGTACCTGGTCTTTGGGTTGTGAGATAGGACGCCCGTGTGCATTGTCGCGCACGTAAAAAATCCCTTTGCCCGGGCAAAATTTGGAGTTCAAAATCTACCCAAAGTATTTCACGATCCTCACCGGTGCTACAGAGCATGTGCACTGTGCTGAGCTTCTTTGAACTCCGACATGAGTTAGAAGAAGAACGGAGCACTTATAGGTTACTACCCGTGTGCCATGATGTTGATCCGTTGTTCAAACTTCAAACAATTATTAATATATCAGTTTTCTACAGGTGACTGTGAATTGTCTCCTGTGGAAGTAGGACGCCAATGTTGGCCGGTTGGGCACCACTGGGTGGTAAACTGTGGCATGACAAGCTAGATGTCAACTCCCTCTGGCAACCAATGAACAATGCCCAGGCACAAACAGAATATCACGGTCTGAAAAGAACTGTGCTGCGGGGAGTAAACAGAAGATCCGGTCGACATTCAACACCGAGGGAAGGGCACCACTGGGTGGTAAACGGTGGCATGACAAGCTAGATGTCAACTCCCTCTGGTCGCCAATGAACAATGCCCAGGCACAAACAGAACATCACGGTCTGAAGAGAACTGTGCTGCGGGGAGTAAACAGAAGATCCGGTCGACATTCAACACTGAGGGAAGGGCAGAGTGGGCATGTAACCCAACTGCTAAGGGCATCATTACATTTAAAAATCTGCGTGACTGCTGAAGATGGGGACGGAATGCTTATGGGAATGACCTAAGGGCTGTGATGTCGGTTCTGCTCTCCCTGTTTGGGTTCCTGGGGCCTACTGTGGGAAAGGGGTGCTGAGTGGGGGGGGGGGGGCAAGAAATAGACACACTGCCTCCCTAACAAGCATGTCGTAGGAGTCGACTTCTTGTGGGTATCTTTCGAAGTCGGAGTGCATTTGTCTGAGAGGCAAGGAGACAACAGTCTGCATACAAATAAGCCATATCTGTATAACGGATGTGCAGGCAAAACTCAGGTTCTTGAATAAGACTAAAGTCCGGAGGTGGATTAGGAGCAGAACGTTCCGCCGGAGTTTACAGCCGGCGAACGCGAAGAAGAAG